CGTTTCGTTCGAATCAATCACCCGATGGAACATCGATACGCGGGTAATCGCTGGATTAAAGGATAACCAAGGATAATTACCCGCCGTTCGATCCGGATGCAATCAATTCTCGATGCGTTATAGTTCGCGCTGGCGCCCACCCTACGGCCAGCTTTCTGTCCCCGCGATCGCTCGCATCCGTCTTCCTTCCTGCTGATTTTTACCTCCTCTCCCCCTCCCCCCGCCGTCTTCAATGGACCTCTGACCTGGCTGAAGCTGCCTTTTAATTTTCACTTCACAGTGGCACACGTTGTTTCGAGAGCGAACGATTAATGATCGATCAACCGATCTGATCTGAAGCCGGTTCGGGTGTATTCTGGCAATTTCGCGAAGGATTTTTTGATCGATCGATACGGAACGAGTGAATCGAATTCTGCCTTCCGTGGGCTTTGTTTCAATCTCAAGACTGTCAGTTTTCATTCTCACGGGATTGGATTTTGATTCTTTGACGAGGTTCGAGGATTTTTGAATCTCGTATCTTTCCTTGCGTCTTCATCAGGTTCGCTTATATTTCTACGATATATTTTACAAAATTATTTACATGGGTGGATAACATGGTAGCGTAGAATATTTCGGAGGGTTGACTCTAAAGTTTCTTCGAACACAGTGGAATACAATAGAGCCTCCCTTATGTGAGTCTGTATTATAATAATATAATTGATAATAATATGATGTAATAATAACTAATAACTAACACGTGTAATTAGAAGATCATTCATTGCACAAAAGAGATTTTCCGATGGTCTAGTCATCAAAATTCTGTTACTCAGAAACGAAGATTCCTCTTTTTACCATGGTGCCTGACAAAAAGAACCTTGTCGCGTTATGGTGCGCGTAATTTTCAATGAAACGAATCGCATCTCGTCCCGGGAGAAGTTTAAACGTTGACGAAAAGCTCCTTTTACTTTCTCGTCAAACACCGGGGCCGGAGGATCGGTTCAGCGTGCGAACACGCCTCTGTTCACACGAAAATTGTATTGCATTTTTTACGAATCCACGGAGGATTTACAGCCGGCGAAACGGCGCATATTTGCCGGTGGAATTATGCTGACCATAGTTTTGTTCTTGTTAACGCGGCGCAACTCGTCCATCCATCAAGTTCCACGAGTTACGACAGTCTCCGGGAAAATATGTGTCCGCTTCGCGCGCGCGGCGCAGGCTGGAACCGTCTTTTCAACTCGACGCTTCCCCTCTTACGTTACGGCAATTTCAACGTCGAGACGAGCCGACGTTGGACGCACCGCGCGAAATTATCGCGGTACAAACTCGGGTCCCGGGAGCCAAGGGTCGGAGGAGAACCCGAGTAAATTTTTCTCTCGCTCGCCGCGAGCGTAAAAGTTCGGCCGCGGAATCGATCGGACATATCGCTTACCGCGAATATTTTTCGTCTCCCTTTTTCTCCCTCTCTCACTCTTTTTCTTTCCTTTTCTCTATCTCTTCCTACCTACAGCAGGACTTATCACCGTGAAACTTTAATTTAATTTCGTCTCTGGGTCCCCTCATTTCCGTCCCGTTTCCCTCGTATCTCCTCATATTATTTCCCGAGTACGCCGGGATTTCGAACTTTAATCCCGACCAGCCGACGTAACTTTTCGGCCGGAATCCACGTATCTCGTCCCGGGAGTCGACTCGAGACGGCAGCGAAATAAATCGTCGATAAGCCTCGCGTCTGCGGAAGTTCAATTGCCCCGTCCGGGGCACCAGACTCTTTCCTTCACCTCCCACTCTCCCCTTGTGATACGCTTGTTTTCCGCGTTTTAATTAGAACTTCGCTTCCACCGTGTCGTGGATCGAAAATGAAATTTTTTTCATCCAGGAATCGAGGATCCATGCTTCGAAGACAGTCGAAAGAAGAGTCGGGGAGAACCCTGATGGAGTTTTTATGCGCGAAACGCAAAGTACTCGCGCGTTCGCATACAGAGCGATTAACCGTGTGTAACGACAGCCTGAAGAATTCGATTTTAATTAAATTTGAACTTTACTCTCTGTCCTGATGCGTCCTCGTAACTTGGTGGCGTACGGCGAGATTTTTATAATAAAGAAAAAAGACGAAGCAACGACAGTGTGATAAACTTATTTGTCAGTCTTCCGTGTGTTAATTAATAAACTGCGGATTCTCTGTTCGTTTGTAGAAAATCTCGAAGTGTAAAATTTGCACGAAATGTATAATGATATCGATACATGTCAAATTGTCCTGTATTATGCAATATTAATATCACAAAATTAATTGATTATAATTATTATCAATGATAGAAATAATACACAATACGTACATAAAATATCTAAAGCATAGTACTTCCTGTATGTTCTATTTTCTTAATTATATCCCCACATATAAATAACACATACATATGTAAAATACCTAAAGTTTACTTCCTACTTTCTTACCATAGTATGGTACTATACGCTCTATTTTATATAATTATATCCTCGTATATAAATAACACACAATACGTATGTAAAATTTTAAATTAAAAATTTAGTACTTCCTATATGTTTTATTTTCTTAATTATATCTCCAGATACAAATAATACATACTTAAAGTTTAATATTTCCTATATATTTTATTCCCTTAATTGTAACTCCATATACAAATAACACGCAATACGTATGTAAAATGTCTAAAATTTAGTACTTCCTACGTGTTTTATTCTCTTAATTATATCCCCAGATACAAATAACACATATCTAAAGTTTAATATTTCCTATATATTTTATTCCCTTAATTGTAATCCTATATACAAATAACACGCAATACGTATGTAAAATGTCTAAAATTTAGTACTTCCTGTTTTATTTTCTTCATGTTTTATTCTCTTAATTATATCCCCAGATACAAATAACACATACCTAAAGTTTAATATTTTCTATATATTTTATTCCCTTAATTGTAACCCCATGTACAAATAACACGCAATATGTATGTAAAATGTCTAAAATTTAGTACTTCCTACATGTTTTATTCTCTTAACTATATCCTTATATGGCACATAATACGTATGTAAGATAAAGTAAAGATAGAGCATTTTACATGCTGTATTCGCAGTTTATCAATGAATTTGTCGTCGCACGTTTATCAACGTGCATGGAAAAATACAAGATACTCACGATTCCGGTCGTCCGTTTGGTTCCTCTTGTGCTGCGTCTTGTGATGATGCCCACCGGGAACAGGTATCTGCTTCATGGCAACGAGATCGTGATGGTCGGCGTCGATCAACGGGTTCTCCAACTGCGACTCGATCACCTCGAAACTGGTCGAGTTGTCCGGATGCGAGATGACCTTCACTGTAAACGAGCAAACGTAACGGAGCATGGAGGGAAAGCTTTAGCGCGTCTGATCGTTGATTCGAATCGACGC